CTCTTCTCTGATTGCTCAAATAGTTTACAACTTAATTAATCTCTTTTTTAGGTAACTCAATGCGGCACCCGAGAAGGAATGTCGCGGCGGAGAATGCGTGCCCATTATCGTACCGCCATACATTCTTGAGTATTGTGAAGATGATAACTGGATAAAATAGATAAAAAACACCTGTCGAAATTATTGCTTGGGGGAATCTAAAGACGTAAGAGTCAAACGACGTTCTTGCAGACATGGAAGACGCAGAACTGCAAATTGCAAAGAATCATACTACGATGTGGTTCTGTGCGATAACTCGATGCTTTGCTCTGAAAATCGCACGACAATCTCTAACTTTGCTACTGTGAAATGCATTAAACTTAAGAATCTTGCAAAATATACAAAATTCAGGATCAAATTAAGAGAAAAGCCAGGATTGCAGGTCGCTCATTATGTCGAAAAACCATAGCAGGCCTGTACTATATACTGCCTACAAAATGATTCTACTGTCAAAGCACTACGCTCAAATATGCTCAAATTTAATTTCGATCCGTACTTTCCAGATGGAAAGTGGTGTCATAATAAAGATGGTCTGAATTAGTACTGCCGACAACATTATTGTGTGCCGGAAAGCTCTTAAAAATAGTTGCTGAGAGATTACCGACATGTGTGAAAGAAGATCTAGGAAAAACGGAATTACAAAATACCCATAAATCAGTTTAGAAATGTTGGTCAATTTGTTTGGTACCGAATACTCGATCGAATCAATATGTCCTTGTTAACATCAATATCATTCATACCTTGCTTAATAAAAACGAATGGTCGAAGAATTATCTGCATCTAATGCAAATTCCGTTTATTAGCATTAGTAAAAATGACAAAAAAAGATAGGTGATAATTAAAATGTTTACAAAACGAAAAAATAAATTGTTAAACAAAGTAGAGGTGCTTTTACTTTATATGAGACAATGTGTCCAGACAAAGTGAACGAGAACGGTAAAATACCCCTCGCTATAATATATATTATAACAGTCTTCCAATATTTCATGAGTACTTATATAAAAACAATTAATAAACAAAAAAAATAAAGATAATTTTATTACTTAATAAAGAATAAGGCACGACGTCAGAAACAAATAAATTTCAATACATTTTCTTTGTAAATTAGAACATAAAAAATTTATTGTATTTCCATTTTATATTATATTTGATATTCATTCAGCTAAACTGCGTCAGCAATGTTATGTTCTAATAATTCTAAAATTGTTATAAATAATAACTTTTTTTACGTTTAATAATAATGTTCAAAATGTTTGTGAATAATGTTACATATCTTTCATATTGATAACAATTCGCATTTTCCTTAATTCCACCGTTATCGCAAATATTCTATGAAATATACAATACAGAATCAAAAAAAACGCATATATACAAGGTAGGCCAAAAAAGTGTAAAAACATTTTATTACCATAGTTTTTACAAGTTAAATGGATAGACATTAACTTGTTAAATGTGTATACATTTCATTCAAACACGACGTATATGTAGCATATGTAATATATACACAAAGTGTCACCGACACGAACGATATTCCTAAACCTAGTTGCCAGTATGTGTTCAATACGCGATCAGACGATACGACAAACGCGAGACTGTTATAACGTATGTATATGACAAAAAATTGCATACATAAAAAGACGTTATTTAATCATTTTAAAGTATTTAAAAATGAAAAACGCGAAAATCATTATGTTCTTTATATTTAAATTGATGTTAATATTTTTATTAAATGAAACGTACGCGTACATCACGCAAGACATCGAAAAAATATTGCTGCCGGCATGGAATCCGACAAGCCAACAGGAAGTACGTGTGTTTTGCTGTACTACTTTATTCATTGCTCAACCAAATATTATTACACAATTATCAAGTCATTTCTGTATTGTCATTTACAGATACCATTAACTCTGAAAGTTTTTGGAAAACAGATTCAGTTAAATCTACGAAGAAACGACCGAAATGTATCGTCCACGTTTAAAGTATGGAAACATGAAGCAAAAGACATCACAGAAAAGCTACCGCAATTAAATGCATCGGATCCTTGCTATTATCTTCATAAAGATCATATCAGCACTGCAAATTATAAACTTCTGTCAGGAACATGGATGGGTCAGTATCATGTGAAACAGAAATAGATTTAAATTTTAATCTTAATTTCTGTTTATTTTATATTTATGCGTGACACACATGAAACTTAATGTACATTTTTTAAGTAGGAAGGATTAATTTTTTTGAAAGACGGCACATTAAAAATTAGTCCGTTGCAAAATGACCATGCGTTTTCGTCCTTAACCGACGATCTTTGCGTTAAAGAAAAAATTAATATTTCATTTGGCAAATCTCACCTAATTAAAAGATCTTTGCAATTATCTGCTGATGCAAGTTTTCATAAATCAGATAATTTTAAACTGAAGCGACGTCATGTACGAAATACGCTAAAAAAATTAACTATAGAATTAGCTGTTTTCTTCGACGCAGCCGCATATCGTACCTTCATGCCTGTTCTGGACAATGATGAGAAAATGTTGAACATGTTAATATTAGCGTATGTGAATAATATCCAAGCTATATATCATCATCCGAGTTTGGGTGTTTCTATCGACATTTCATTGGTACATTTGGATATTATGAGAGAACAACCGTCAGATTTGCCAGTTTTTGGCGGCGACGATGAGAAACTGCGCGTTTCGTTCTGCAAGTACGCGAAAACTCGCAATCCTCCAGACGATAAAAATCTGCGTCACTGGGATATTGGTCTTTACCTAACCGGAATAAATATTTATTGGGCAGAGCAAAACAAATATGGCAGCCTAGGAATATCCGGCATCAATAGCAGTTGCAGCTTAAATGAATCGTGCTTAATAGTAGAATTCGGTATTGAAAATGAGATATCTTCAGGTTTTTCATCGTCTCGCACTGCTGCTCATGAAATCGGCCATGTGTAAGTATGTATATAATAGTTGTAAGTATATATTAAATATAAATAATATATTTCATAAAAATTTATTGAATTGTTCAATTTACAAGCAAAAAGTAAAGAAACTTCTTAAACAGATTTGTTCCTTTACCTTCAGTATGTTAATTTTTAATAAATTTTAATATAAAAATATTTGCAATAATCATTACTAAATAATGCAAAATTAAAAATTTCTTTATCTTAAAGTTTAGGAATGGAACACGATTCCGATTATAGAAAACCATGTGATAGAAACAAATACATAATGTCGTCTATACGGCGAACGGAAGGCCAGATATTATGGTCCAAGTGTAGTCGCCATATAGTTGAAAAACTCTGGAATAAAAACCGTGCCTTCGAGATTATGCGAAAATTCCCATTGACTCATATGACCATTCGCGTTATCATAATTTACCCGGAAGACAATGGACTGCCAAAGCACAATGCGAAATATTTCTTCACGACAAGGATGCAAACGTAGTCACGTTGCTTAATGTATGCAAATGCTTACAATGCAAAACGCCTCACAAAGATATATTTTACTTCACGGGACCGGCGTTAGAAGGTACGTTTTCTCTTCTCTGATTGCTCAAATAGTTTACAACTTAATTAATCTCTTTTTTAGGAACTCAATGCGCACCCGAGAAGGAATGTCGCGGCGGAGAATGCGTGCCCATTATCGTACCGCCATACATTCTTGAGTATTGTGAAGATGATAACTGGATAGAATAGATAAAAAACACCTGTTGAAATAATTGCTTGGAGGAATCTAAAGACGTAAAAGTCAAACGACGTTCTTGCAGACATGGAAGTCACAAAACTGCAAATTGCAAAGAATCATATTACGATGTGGTTCTGTGCGATAACTCGATGCTATGCTCTGAAAATCGCACGACAATCTCTAATTTTGCTACTGTGAAATGCATTAAACTTAAGAATCTTGCAAAATATACAAAATTCAGGATCGAATTAAGAGAAAAGCCAGGATTGCAGGTCGCTCATTATGTTGAGGAACAATGGCAGGCCTGTAGTATTTACTCCCCACAAAATGATTCTACTGTCAAAGCATTACGCTCAAATATGCTTAAATTTTAATTTCGATCTGTACTTTCCAGATGGAAAGTGGTGTCATAATAAAAATGGTCAGAATTAGTACTGCCGACAACATTATTGTGTGCCGGAAAGCTCTTAAAAATAGTTGCTAAGAGATTACCGACATGTGTGAAAGAAAATCTAGAAAAAAGGGTATTACAAAATACCCATAAATCAGTTTAAAAATGTTGGTCAATTTGTTTGGTACCGAATACTCGATCGAATCAATATGTCCTTGTTAACATCAGTATCATTCATACCTTGCTTAATAAAAACGAATGGTCGAAGAATTATCTGCATCTAATGCAAATTCCGTTTATTAGCATTAGTAAAAATAATAGGTGATAATTAAAATGTTTACAAAACGGGAAAATAAATTGTTAAACAAAGTAGAGGTGCTTTTACTTTATATGAGACAATGTGTCCAGACAAAGTGAACGAGAACGGTAAAATACCCCTCGCTATAATATATATATTTTAATAGTCTTTCAATATTTCATGAGTACTTATATAGAAACAATTAATAACAAAAAAAATAAAGATAATTTTATTACTTAATAAAGAATACGGCACGTCGTCAGAAACGAATAAATTTCAATACATTTTCTTTGTAAATTAGAACATAAATAATTTATTGTATTTCCATTTTATATTATATTTGATATTCATACAGCTAAACTGCGTCAGCAATGTTATGTTCTAGTAATTCTAAAATTGTTATAAATAATAACTTTTTTTACGTTCAATAATAATGTTCAAAATGTTTGTGAATAATGTTACATATCTTTCATATTGATAACAATTCGCATTTTCCTTAATTCTACCGTTATCGCAAATATTCTATGTGAAATATACAATACAGAACCGAAAAAAACGCATATACAGGGTGTGGCAATAAAGTGTAAATACATTTTATTACCATATGTTTTTACAAGTTAAATGGATAGACATTAAATTGTTAAATGTGTATATCAAATGTGTATTTCATTCAGACTCGACGTATATGTAGTATATGTAATATATACACAAAGTGTCACCGACACGAACGATATTCCTAAACCTAGTTGCCAGTATGTGTTCAATACGCGATCAGACGATACGACAAACGCGAGACTATTATAACGTATGTATATGACAAAAAATTTCATACATAAAAAGAACGTTATTTAATCATTTTAAAGTATTTAAAAATGAAAAACGCGAAAATTAATATGTTCTTTATATTTAAATTGATGTTAATATTTTTATTAAATGAAACGTACGCGTACATCACGCAAGACATCGAAAAAATATTGCTGCCGGCATGGAATCCGACAACCCAACAGGAAGTACGTGTATTTTGCTGTACTACTTTATTCATTGCTCAACCAAATATTATTACACAATTATCAAGTCATTTCTGTATTGTCATTTACAGATACCATTGACTCTGAAAGTTTTTGGAAAACAGATTCCGTTAAACCTACGAAGAAACGACCGAAATGTATCGTCGACGTTTAAAGTATGGAAACATGAAGCAAAACACATCACAGAAAATCTACCGCAATTAAATGCATCGGAACCTTGCTATTATCTTCATGAAGATCATATCAGCACTGCAATTATAAATTTCTGTCAAGAACATGGATGGGTCAGTATCATGTGAAACAGAAATAGATTTAAATTTTAATCTTAATTTCTGTTTATTTTATATTTATGCGTGACACACATGAAACTTAATGTACATTTTTTAAGTAGGAAGGATTAATTTTTCTGAAAGACGGCACATTGGAAATCAGACCTTTGCAAAATGACCATGCGTCCTTAACCGACGATCTTTGCGTTAAAGAAGAAATTAACATTTCATTTGGCAAATCTCACCTAATTAAAAAATCTTCGCAATTATTTGACGCAAGTTTTCATAATTCAGATAATTTTAAACTAAAACGACGTCATGTACGAAATACCCCAAAAAAATTAACTATAGAATTAGCTGTTTTCTTAGACGAAGCCGCATATCGTATCTTCATGCCTATTCTGGATAATGATGAGAAAATGTTGAACATGTTGGTATTAGCGTATGTGAATAACGTCCAAGCTATGTACCATCATCCGAGTTTGGGTGTTTCTATCGACATTTCATTGGTACATTTGAATATTATGAGAGAACAACCGTCAGATTTGCCAGTTTTTGGCGGCGACGATTCCAAACTGCGCAAATCGTTCTGCAAGTACGCGAATATTCGCAATCCTCCGGACGACAATGATCCTAGTCACTGGGACGTTGGTCTTTACCTAACCGGAATAAATATTTATTGGGGTGAGAAAAGCAAATCGGGCAGCCTAGGATTATCCCGCCACAATAGCAGTTGCAGCTTAAATGAATCGTGCTCAATAGTAGAATTCGGTAATGAAAATAGTACGAGTGTATCTTCAGGTTTTGCATCGTCTCGCACTACTGCTCATGAAATCGGTCATGTGTAAGTATGTATATAGTAGTTGTACGTATATATTAAATATAAATAATATATTTCGTAAAAATTTATTGAATATTTCAATTTACAAGCAAAAAGTAAAGAAACTTCTTAAAGAGATTTGTTCCTTTAACTATTCAGTATGTTAATTATTAATAAATTTTAATATAAAAATATTTACAATAATCATTACTAAGTAAAGCAAAATTAATAATTTCTTTATCTTAAAGTTTAGGAATGAAACACGATTCCGATTATAGAAAACCATGTGATAGAAACAAATACATAATGTCGTCTATACGGCGAAGGGAAGGCCAGATATTATGGTCCGAGTGTAGTCGCCATATAGTTGAAGAACTCTGGAATATAAAACCGTGCCTTCGAGATCATGCGAAAATTCCCATTGACTCATATGATCATTCGCGTTATCATAATTTACCCGGAAGACAATGGACTGCCAAAGCACAATGCGAAATATTTCTTCACGATAAGGATGCGAACGTAGTCACGTTGCTTAATATATGCAAATGCTTACAATGCAAAACGCCTCACAAAGATATATTTTACTTCACGGGACCGGCGTTGGAAGGTACGTTTTCTCTTCTCTGATTGCTCAAATAGTTTACAACTTAATTAATCTTTTTTTTAGGAACTCAATGCGCACCCGGGAAGGAATGTCGCGGCGGAGAATGCGTGCCCATTATCGCACCGCCATACATTCTTGAGTATTGTGAAGATGATAACTGGATAGAATAGAAAGAAGACACCTGTCGAAATAATTGCTTGGAGAAATCTAAAGGCGTAAGAGTCAAACGACGTTTTTGCAGACATGGGAGTCGCAAATCGAGAACGGCAAATTGCAAAGGACCGTATTACGATGTGGTTCTATGCGATAACTCGATGCTTTGCTCCGAAAATCGCACGACAATCTCTGATTTTGCTACTGTGAAGTGCATTAAATTTAAGAATCTTGTAAAATATACGAACTTCAGAATCGAATTAGGAGAAAAGCCAGGATTGCAGGTCGCTCATTATGTCGAGGAACCATGGCCGGCCTGTAGTATATACTGCCTACAAAATGATTCTACTGTCAAAGCACTACGCTCAAATATGCTCAAATTTAATTTCGATCCGTATTTTCCAGACGGAAAGTGGTGTCATAATAAAGATGGTCAGGATTATTACTGCCGACAACATTATTGTGTGCCGGAAAGCTGTTAAGAATAATTGCTGAGAGATTACCGACATGTGTGAAAGAAGATCTAGGAAAAAGAGAATTACAAAATACGCATAAATCAGTTTAGAAATGTTGGTCAATTTGTTTGATACCGAATAATCGATCGATCAATATGTCATTATTAACGTCTGTTTTTTGTATCATCGATATCTTGCTCGATAGAAATACAAGTAGACGAAGAATTACGTCGAATTATTAGCACGTAAAACAAATTCCGTCGATTAGCAATAATAAAAGCTTAAAAAAAAACAAAAAAAAATAATAAATAATATAATAATTAACATATTTGCAAAGCGGAAGAAAGTAGCTAAATAAAGTAGATGTACTTTTATTTCCTAGGAAAATGTATCGTGAAAAAGTGAACAAGAACGATAACGTCACTCAGTTTATGTTAAGTATGTATTTTAATAGTCTACCAATGTTTTAGTAATTCTTATATAAAAATAATTAATAAACAAAAACAAATTTTATTTTACATTTAAAAAATATTCAAAATTATTTAATACAAATTGTCATTTATTTATTGTGTGTTTTAAAACTGTTCCAATGTTACTTATATTTAATGATATAAGAGCGAAATGAAAAATTTAAAGCAATATAAAAATGTGTGTATTATATAACTTATCGTGCAGATAATTAATCAACTATTAAACTTGAGAGCACGTATATATAACTGTATATTGGCGTGATGTTAAAAAAATCGAGCCATAATATATTTGCTAGTTTGTTTTATTATTTAATATAAACAAAAAAGTTTTTCTATTATACGGTATGTATGTACAATTAATGATCATTTTTGCACTATTTTTATTGTTATCAATGTTATCATACATTAATTTTTGAAGAAATTAACTTAACATCTAAATTGACGTATTTTGGTCAAAATTAGTGTATTACTTACATTTTGAAATAGTGTATTACTTACATTTTGAAATTCTTTATATAGATATTATAATAACAAATTCAAGTTGCGTGAAGTATGTCAAATATCAAAGACATCAAAATTTTATAAAATAAAATAGAAATCAAATATTTAAAACGGCTGATTTATGATAAATAATTGACAATTTTTGTACCAACAAGAAAATTGATGCTTACAATTAATTCATAAAAGCGTCTTACTTGATAAATTTGTAAACATAGTTTATAAATTTAAATGCATAATTTATTAATCAAAATTATAGATATAAAAGGTTATAAACTTATATCATAACTTTGAAACATAAATATATACATATAAAAACATGTTTTCAGTTTTATGAGTAAAAAAAACGAATTTACGTTAAAGTATACCAGTTCTTCTCACATTTTACGTCATGTAAGTTGTCCAAGTTATAACTATCCTTATTGTTGGTTGTAATGCTACTCAAATGTCGCTACCATCATTTCGATTGTCAAACTCTGTTTGGACAAATTTGCATAAATAGTTATAATACTTATTAAAAACAGATATTAATTGTTTGATTTTTGTTATGCTCATTATATATATGCCGAGTATTTAAATATGACTTGGAAAAAATAAATAATTAATGATCTATAATATTAATAATAATATAATAATAAAATTCACTGTTACTTTTTCTTCATAAATTTGTGGTGCTTTCTGATAGCTTAGCTGTGTTACATGTTACTTCCGTCACAATATTCGGATGCTTAGTTTTTAAATGATTATTTAGATTCGATGATAACTCTAGTAATATAGTCTGTTTACAAAAATTACACTGCACAGTATAGCCGCTATAAGCTATACAGTATTTCCGCGGCCACTTCCAAATTTTGTACTTATTTCTGTCTTTTAAAGTGTGGTCGGTGTACGCGTGTCTAATTAAAGTATGAGTATCGGACTTAAAAACATTATCACACATAAGACATCTCGCGTGTTTCGTGCATCGTCCGTATAAATCATCCATTTTCTTGAAGTACTTCCACTCGTGATGTGTTTTCATCTTTTCCTCGTGTATAAAAACTTGTGTATGCATTATTGCCATATGTCTGCGAAAATTTGAACTAGACAAACAGCAAAAATAACATTTGCAAATTTTACATTTTGCCATACTGTGACCCACATTATACCGTGTCTTACAAAATAATGTATAGTGTAGAGATATCCAATTCGGAAACATTATATCCGTTTTATAGGACAGAATAAATGTAACTAAAGTTCTGAAGAAAAGGCTGAAGAAAGATGTATAGATTTTCTATTCGAATATAAATATTGATATAATGTTCAAACCCACCAGTCATTATGAGACGCAGTGACTTATAACAACTCTGAAAGAGAAAACGAGAAAGAGAGAAAGATATATATATATCCTTTACAGGAATAAACAGTTTCTTGAAAAATAACGAAGAAATTATTACTTATATCTTTCAAATAAAACTATTATTTAAAATAATGGTTCTATCGAAAAATATGCGTATTTTTTCGTCATAATAAAATCACGATGAATCAATTGATGCAAGCAATTGATGTATTAATTGCAAAAACATAAATATAGGCATGCATTTTTCTATTTGATTTATGTTCAGATGTCGATTAATTGGAATTTGTCGGTTTACAGTTTGTTTTACAATTTTGAGAAACAAATGCAGATTGCGAGTGGAAATATTAAAAAGGTATTAATTTATAGATTACTTGTAGATGACAGCTGCACGAAATGCGCGAGATATCTTATATGTGATAATGTTTTTAAATTCAATGTTTACACTTTAACTACACACATGCGTACATCGAGCATTCTTTACATCACTTTATTTTTAATTACTCTATAATTTTTTAGAATACTCGTATTGAGGTGGAGTAAATAATATTCTAATATTCAGATGTGTTAGAACGCACTTTGATAATTAGTCGTCCATGCACAGAAATAATTTCGTTTATAATAATGTTGGACATATGTAAATAAATAGAAAAGTAAGTTACACATAAAATGAAATTTTTTTTAATAAATATCTATTTAATCATAATCATTGCAATAATCCGCGATCCTGCTGATTAAGAATATCATAATCATAATATAAATCTCTCAGTGTTTTATTTGTTGTTTTAAATGTTCCGGCCAGTTTTATTCATTTATCTCTGAATTGAACTCTGATGATCATAGCGTAGTTCAGCATTATCGGTCACCAGTCACGCATATTCGAGTATGTAGTGTTTTATAGGTTATTGTGACTGCATAACCTCTAATACATCCAGAAAGAAGCTCTATAAAATAAAGAAATGGACAAGCTAACAAAATAAATAATGTAATATTACATAATAAAACAGAGAAGCTCTATGTGAAGAAAATTTGTTTGTTAAATTGAAACCATAAATATACTAAAAAGAACCAATGTATCCTCGACTCTTGTTGAATCTTTGCGAGCGATCTTTGTGCCGTGCTTCGAGTAGTTTTAAATTTCCAATTAACAGATTGAGTCATGCTTTAAATAAACGCGAAGAGAAACCGAATACAGAAATCGTCTCTACGAGATTTTCCGATTACAAAATAATCTACACCTTTCCTTATATCAAGCATGTCCGTGCTATAAACGTTGTAAAACGCCGGCTCACTTTTTTCGTCGCGGCAGCCGTGCCTGTGATCGTCGGGCTTCATTTGGCTGATATCATATCTTTTGACATAGCTAGCTCATCAATAGCAAGTGGTGAGTTGCTGCAAATTGACATTTTTCTAAAACTAATTATGATTCTATAAATGTTTTCTTTGTTTTTCAGGTATTTTACTAACAACATGGTTGCATTCTCTTGGAATTTTCTGCAACAATCTCATAGGATGTGTGTATGTGAAATTGGATGAAGAAAAAGTAATATTATCTTACATGAACTACTGGGGGAAGAGAACTGATCTGGAAACCACTCTCAGTGAAATTATTCCTCTATCAGATAATCAGTTTAGCATTATAGACCCTTTGTACAGAAAAGTACAGTTTGCCACAAAAGATCAAAAGCTGAAGATAAATTTGAAGTTGGGACAAATAACGGATATCAAAAATTTTAAATGCGTTCTAGGAACGATCTAATGATTTCTAGGAATATATATATTGTCCGCAAAAAGTTGAGCTTAAAAATTAATTTTATTTACAAAACACTATGTTTCACTTACAACCACCTAAAGTGTGCATAAGCTCGATTGGCCTGGCATTTCTTATGTAATTCTTGCTTCCATTTGACTGCACGGCCCTACAACAGTACAATCAATTGAAATGTAAATCTTGTAAATAATGCAGAAATAATAAAGTGTTAACTTATATACCTGATTCTGAGAAGCTACCACTAATTCCTTGGCTAATATATCGTAAAATCTCTGTTCGCTGTTCTTTTCGTTCGCAGCTTGAATCAACCATAGCATAGCTTTATGCTGTGCCGTTACAAGTGAAACTGGAACAGGAATCTGAAAAGATTGATTGGTTCAAAATATTTCATGAAATAAGTAATTTTCTGTTCAAATTTTAGAACTGTTTGAACATTTGAAAGGTGTAGATTTAGTATAAATGTTCAATAAATTAAAAAAGTTAAAAATATACAAGTAAAAAACTGATTACTTTTTTTCAATAAATGTAGGCTGGAATTTTTTCCAATCTTCAAATTTTTTAAGCAAATTTTTAGAATTTAAGAAGATATCACATTCATTATTAATTAAATTCAAATTGTGTAAAGTAAAAGCTCATGTTTTTACTTCTGACTGTTGAACAACTTGATCATGCATGCTACAATCTTTTGTCTCAAGATCAAAAAGTTTTAGTTGCTTCATTTGTATTTATATATAATAAACTTATCTTATATTACCTGATATGTAATTCCACCTTTTCTACAAGGTATTAAATGCAAAATAGGTGTGCAATTATCAACAGCACGATGAAAAACTACAAATGGATCTAATTCAATGCTATCTTTCTCTTCATTTGTTTTCGCTTTATGATAACGCTCCAATTGTATTCTCTTGACATTTTCAAAAGCTTTGGTCACCAATATTGTCGCTAACTTCTTATTTCCATCTCTCATAATAATAGAAATAAATTTCCTACAAACGCGATTAGTATAAGTAAATACTATAATTATTGTAAATTACTAAAAGTTATAATAAAGTAAGTTTAAGAAATTGGAACATTTTCTTACAGCACTCTGGGATCATAGAACTCAGAGCATGTGTCAGAGGCTAATGCTGGTTTCACCGGGTAATGAACAATCTTTTTTGACTCTGGATCATTAAGTAGTGCTTCTTGCTCATCTTTTCGAAATGTTGGTTTAATATAAGTAGGTGGAAAAACACTGTATCCTTTTTTAAGTAGTGTAAAACTGCATCTAAAAAGAATCAAACATTTGGGTTTATCTATAGAAGATATGACAGTAATTGAGAAACATTTAGAAAAAATTATTACAAAAAAAATTATAATTTCTCATAAATCGCTATACCTTGTCAATCCGTAATTATTTAATATATTTGGAACTGATCTTATAAACAAACGTGAATTAGCCATCTTTCTAATTGCAATCTTAGTGCCCTCTATAGATGAATCTACACTCCTTAAGTCACGTTTTCAACTACACAAGAGTTACGTATGATTTATACTGCGTCCAATGTATAATTGTCCAATGTATATATTTTATTATCTAATATCTGACAGAAGAATTTTATTTCAAGAGATTTTATCTATTTTTTGTCTCTAAAAAACAAACTTTTTTATTAAATTATTTTATAATTTTGATAATAAAAATTTTATTAACACTGGATAATAATCACACACATAAGTGTGAATTTGTCATTATATATAACTCAATAAAATAATTAATTCTTTTAAAATTTATTAAATAACTATGAATTGATAAAACTTATAATAAATTATAATCTTTTTTTTGTAATGATTTTTTAATCTTTTTTTATCGTCATTATACTCTGCGGATGGCAGCAATGTTAAAAAAACTTCCTAGATGCACGTCAACTTGACGCATCATGAAAACCGGTCGTTAAGTTTTCTATGTGTACAGTGTATATCGTGTATACCGCCGTCAAGCCGAGTCAAATGTTCGCGATAGGTTTGCGGTGAGATCTCGTAGTTTAACGAGGTTGGCATAAAAACTTCCATCAGCGGCACTCGCTATCGACTCGTGTGCACTGATAAGAGCCGAAATTCTTATCGAACGTGTTGCTCGCGGATCACACGAGACCGCACAAATGGTGCGACTGCCGCGTAACACATATGCCAGGTTGTTGAGATCTTGTGAGAAGGTCTCCTAAGAGGAGCGCCTTTGACGAGCCATTCCCCGTGAGCGCGTGCGACACCTGAGAACAACCCTTGCCTGGTCTGGAATGGCGGAAAATCAGGGCAATTCATCGGGCCAAGGTATGTCACCGATTTGTAGACACATAATCGACGCCGATCATGGAAAACCTAACCTAACCTTTATAGTAGCATTATCCCGCGATTAAAAGAAATTTTGCAACGTTATTCATATTTTAGTTTGGAAAAATATGTAAAAAAAATTGTCCCGCGTTGCGAGGATCAATTGCCGCAATTTTTCGTACGAGGCGTGGTTTGCGCTCCGAAAATATAATTACGTTGCAGGTTCTGGCAGATCCTTCAACTTTCCGCGATTAGATCTTCGAACAAATAACGACGTCCAGAATGAGATGTCAGGTATGTGCACAACCAAGTGCAATTTCTAAGAAATATCTCTGAGACAACATACAATCCATTTGTCATTGAAATTGACACTAAAATGGTCCTTTTGTTACGCCACATTTTGTTGCAGAGAGGCGAAGACAGCTGAAACTTAGTTTCCAAACGCAAAGCAATAATTTGTCGTTTGCCAATTCCACAAATTCCTCATTGTTGAATTCCACGGGAGCCACGGCGTGTCCACCAATGTGAGATTTCAGCAAGCAAATCAGTTCCATAAATATCAGTATCTTATCTTATTTCTTTATGACAACACTGACGTTTTTTCTATTCACAACAACAGATCCTCCCGCTCAAGTATGCCTTTACCTTTACCTAAGCTGCCAGTTAGACCTCGCAATATGTTACAGCAGCAAGAGTTTCTTCCCGATAAGGCAAGGTATGGAATTTTAAAGAAACACGACATATATCTTGCGAGACGAATTACAACCGAGCTTATTGTAGAGACAAGCTGCGAATGTGCCAGTCTATGCAAAGTACTGGTAAATTACAATTATCTTCAGACGTGATATATGACTTCACGAGCGAGGATCTTCAGGACCTTGGTGAAATAGGAAGGGGAGGATTTGGCACTGTAAATAAGATGATTCATAGGATAAGCAATACTGTTATGGCTGTGAAGGTAGATTATTCATTTTTTATTTTTGCACCCACCATAATTTTACTTAGACGAATATTTAAGAAAAAATTATTTTAATCATTTTTCAGAGAATTCGTTCTACCGTGGATGAGAGAGAGCAAAAGCAACTGTTAATGGACTTAGAAGTTGTGATGAAGTCCAACGAATGCCCGTGCATCGTGCAATTCTACGGGGCTTTATTTAAAGAGGTACACAGCGCAATGGTATTGAACGTTAATGCTGAAACTGCGCCTCTGCTATATTGCATTCTTTTACACAGGGAGATTGTTGGATTTGCATGGAACTCATGGATACGTCGTTAGATAAGTTTTATAAGTTTATCTACGAAAGATTAAACGAGAGGATACCGGAATGTATTCTAGGCAAAATTACGGTGGCTACCGTAAAGGCACTGAATTACCTCAAGGAGAAGCTAAGAATAATACACAGGGATGTGAAACCTAGTAATATTTTATTGGATCGACGTGGTAATATAAAATTGTGCGATTTTGGGATATCCGGCCAGCTCGTAGACTCGATCGCGAGGACTCGAGACGCCGGCTGCAGACCATACATGGCTGTAAGTTCCATAATTATCAAAATTAATAACTTTGAGATGGATAACTTGCGATAAATCTCTTGTTTCTTTAATGCAATCACGTGAATTTTTTTATATTGAAATAAATTAGTCTTTTCTTTCTGTCACTATTCGCGTTTGATAAAATATATTGAAAGCTTCTTTTCTTATTACTCTATTTCAGTAAAATTCCATGCGTATGTTCTTTATTTCTAACAAATTCATCAAGATTCATCCACAATAAAAATGAGTTTTACACTAAATAAATCATGTGATAAATTTATATGAATCGAAATCTTTTTTATGCCGTTAAACATGAATGGTGACATGCGAGAAAACCAGTTTATTTCGACGTATAATGCGAAAATACGGTTTCTCGTTTCCGATGTCACCAATTAATATGAACGCAGTGCCTCAAATAATGCTCATAACATTACCATGATTATTCAGCCGGAAAGGATAGACCCGCAACGCGCGCGTGGTTACGACGTGCGAAGCGATGTGTGGTCGTTAGGTATCACAATGATGGAAGTGGCAACGGGGTACTTCCCGTATCCAAAGTGGAATTCCGTCTTTGAGCAGCTCTATCAAGTGGTGCAGGGTGATCCGCCGCGGCTCTCCCCCAACGAGAACGGAAATCACTTCACCATGGACTTTGTGAATTTTGTGAATACATGGTAGGAATAGTTTCGCGCGATTTTATCTCCATCTGTCGCGCTAGTCCGCGAAACATTTCTACGAAAACTAAAATCGTGCGTATTGTTTTGCTAAGTTTAATTAAGGAGGAGACGCAGCGGCCGAAATACAATAAACTGCTGGAGCATCCGTTCATCAGACGAGCGGAGGAAGCGACGATCGACGTCGCGGCATACATTAGCGGCGTTCTGGACAATATGGCGAATAACGGAGTGACACCGTTCACCACCAATCAACCTTAAGAATCGGCAATTGTAAGAAGCGGCGGCAATGCGACAACAGGACACGTCGTATGTCATAGTACCTCGGTTTTTGCAGTCCTCTTCAGAACTCTCACTCTCCGAATACCGTGTATGAATCGCAATGGTATTACCGCACTCCCAATGATCTAGCGTAGGTAGCGAAACCGGGCGATGATATTTCCTCGTCGTCGTACGTCGCCGTCTCGCTCGCGAAGTTGTATCCTCGTGGTGGCACGAGTACACGCGGAGCGGATAAAAGATGTACGCCGGCGAACTGTGGAGCTCGTTAAATAATGTATCGAGTGGTTGATCGACGTGTATACGTTATCTTTTCCTTCTCCCCCCCCCCCCTCCCATTCCGTCAACTTCATCCTCTTGTCTGTTTCTCGTACTATACAATTCTATGAACACGTCGCGTCCTAACAAAAATCTTTTCGATTTTTTCGCGATAATGCGAATTATCCAATGAATTTTCATGCATATGTACGTATGCATATATGTGTGTATGTGTGAGGCTGCATATGTATATACAATATATTACTATTCAAACATTTGAAGCGCTTAAAATTTTTAAAACACAATTTTTTTTTTACAGATATATTCACTAAAAAATATTGACATGAAATTATGAATATATACTATTTAAGTAAAGTTTGCGTAATAAAAGTGGAAAAATTTAAATTAATATATTACATATATATCTTATGTTTTAATATTAAACCACTCGAGTAGTGTATATTCATAAATAAATGTCATATTTTTAATAAAATAATTATGTAGTTATGGTTTTTTATCTAAGAATTACAGAGTGCTCCAAACTTTTGAGTTAGTATAATAGTATATATTATAATATATAGTATGTACTATTCAAAATAGTATATACATACATATATAAGGTATCCCATAATTTATAGGTTTAATTTTAGTCACATTTTCTGACTAATTTGAAGTCGATTTTTTTCGAAAATGTCAAGACAAGTTTTTATTCGTCGCAACCTCCCAATTTTTTTATTTCATCCACTTGAAATTAACTGAAGAATATAACTTTATTCGTTTCCCTGAAGCCTAATTCGAAAACTATGATCGACATTTTTGTTCAGGATCAAATCAACGTCAAATTCAGAAAATCCGCCATCAAAATGGAGATCTTAAATTATGGAACACCGCATATGTATATGCAGATGCACGTATAAATATACAAAAGTCGCAAAATTTATATCACACCTAAGATCTTGATTTTCGTGACTTTTGTAAACGGCGTTAACAGGAACGCAAAGAGTATCCCAGGCGAATTTATCGCCGCTGATCGTACCGAGAATACATCAGCATTGGTCGTTTCCGATGATTTTCTTAGGACAGATTTAAATACCGAGTATCAAATATTAGGAGTGCTGTAATGTAATGGAAATAAATCATTGACACTCGCAGTATGAGTAGGTACTTTTATTTCTCCACCCGCTCTTGTCCCCGACACTCAATTCTCCAACTCGTCTGTGTACTCGAGTTTTTTTTCTTTAATGACTCCTTATTGCTAACCGACGATTCTCTTTATCTTTCACGTGACGACTCGTCTACCGGCGAATTCCAAAAGCTGCGGGTCCAGGTGTGCTTCGCCGTTGCGAACATTAGAAGGCTCTTTGCGAATTATCGCATTTCCCCCTCGCATCGTTCTCTTGCAAATGTTTCCCTTGCAATTCCTCAAACGGTCTTAATAGTTAAGCAAAAAGTATTACAATTCGGCAACGTGCGTATGTCTTTCTAACTATTTGCGAATTTTTTTGCGACGAAGACTGTGTGTTTTATGCGAGACAAAATGGAGAACGATTCTTTCCTATAAACTCGCGATGTTTATATATAGATATTCACAAATTATTTCTAATTATTATTCACAATCATTTTTCTTATATTTATGTTCATCTCCGGCATTTTTTGCACGAGAGAGCAAACTTCGCAGGAGCGTTATAACTATAATCGATAACCCTGGCGATCGTGTACGCGCACCTGTCGTACTGGTACCATTTGCACAGGTAAAAAGATGGCGGTACAACGGTGCTATGGTGGTTGACGGTGCTGATGCAGTCCGTGGTCGTCAGTTCTGATAGAACTACCGGCGCTGACGATTAATTCATCGCTTTCGCACATAATTCCGCAATAGATAACGAATGATTTCGCTTATACTTCAAGTATTCAACTAAAAGTGTTTAATTGACTCTTGATAATTCGTCGCGCGCGTTGTGACATTGACCGATAATATATTTTAATTTAAAACGCATGTTTGAAACATCACGAAAATTCTACGATATTGAATCATTGACTTCGGCTGAAACAAGCTAGCAATCTATCGGCAATATCTTGAAGAAGTGACGCAAAAACTATCGACAACAATTTTCCATCGATCAAAGCTAGCAACCAATTGTGCACTTGTGTTATTAATTTAAATCCAACTAATTCTAGTAAGTATAATTTATCATATTATCTATTTTTGTCAAACATTGATATTGTTTTGAAATATAACACAATACAAAAAAATAAAACATCAAAGAATTTTTCAACACACTATTCTAAAATTCTACAAATTCAAGGAAAGCACTTTGAAGCAAAAAAAAATGTTTAAACAATATCGAAATAATTTTTTCTAACATTTTTTTGCCCAAGTTATCTTTAACGGTGGCGACGCAGCCGACATTTTTCTTCTTTTATTCTTTGCTCTTAATGAATTTGACGGTTTCTTAATCATTTTACAGTTCTGCGTGGACGTCATTATTGGCCCTTACAGTCGTGACGGTGTAGATTCTGTGTGCTGCTGCTGCTACTGCTGCTGCACTCGTCGGAATCAATTCTTTTGAATATTTGATGCGCCGAGTGCCTCCGCCCTCCCGGAACTCCGGCTCGTGTTCGTTCGTCGGTGAGTCTATATCCGTAACCTCCGCGCGTATTATTCCGGTCTTTTAAATTGTCCACTGAAGTACGTCCACATCATTGCTATCGCGATGACCCGTTACTATTTCTTAAGAGGACATGGCTCTGCGCCCAGCCAACCCCTGCTTCGCCTCCTCCCTCAAGGAGACACTCGCGCACCCTCGTAATCATATTCGCGCCCCTTGCCATTGTTTTTCACTTTAGAATTGCAAACTACTGCGATTGTTCGAAGCGCAAGAATCGTGGCATTTGGCTCGAAACGTTGGATTTTCAGAAAGTTTTATCGCGTAAATTGTTCATATATCATGCATTACGTCGTATTGTTGTATATTATAGTCGTGAAGACTAATGGAACATCACAAGGACATATTCTACGTAGAGTTTTACACATAGAAGTACGGACGAAATGTTCAAATCAGAATTAAAAAGTAACTGTTTGCAAAATCACATGGCGATAAACAAATTAATGCGATTTCCGATTCATTTGTCGTATTAGCGTACGATTTTGTGGCAACTATTCTCGAATTCCGATTTATTTTAATTTTACGCTGAAGATCTTTCAATTATTAATATTTCTGAATACAATTATTACTAGTAACGCATCAATCAATGCCGGCTCGACAATCCACCGCGTTCTTTAGTTTAAAAATGATTGTTTAATTATTTAATAACTTGAACTTTCTTTACAATATCGCGGCGTCGCATATATGCCAAGCGGCAAACATATATATATATATATATAAGTCCAACTCGGTTCGTTTATATATATTCGACTGCAATTACAGATGCGTAATCGAACGCAAAGCGTCAGCGGAATGTACTGTGATAGTGTCTAAATCGATTCGGACAGATAGTACGCTGTATATTGTGGTCCCATTACGTCTTTTCACATGGCGCATAATGTTACGTTGCCGCACGTAATATACGTCGCTCCGCGAGCGCGCGCGTGTAAGG